CTGGGGGAGGAAGCAGAGATCTGGGTGGTGGAGACAGTGTATCTCTGTGTTGTCTCAGGGGAGGTGGGGTGCATGGTCGTGGTCCCCAGCCTAAGGACTCCCGATGACGTTTGGCCTATGCTGGTGCTGGTGGTAGAGACAGGGACCCCATGGGTAGTCCCAGGGGAAGACGGTCCTGTGTGGGTGGTCCTGGGGGAGGAAGGAAGGATCTGGGTGGTGGAGACAGGACCCCCATGGGTGGTCCCAGGGGAAGATGGTCCTGTCTGGGTGGTCCTGAGGGAGGAAGGAAGGATCTGGGTGGTGGAGACAGGAACCCCATGGGTGGTCCCAGGGGAAGTCGGGCCTGTCTGGGTGGTCCTGGGGGAGGAAGGAGAGATCTGGGTGGTAGAGACAGGAACCCCATGGGTGGTCTCAGGAGAAGACGGGCCAGCCTGGGAGGTTGGGCCACTGACACCCAGCGTGGTCTCGGAGGAAGATGGGAGGGTGGCCGTGGTCTGCAGCCCCGTGACCCCTGATGACCTTATTCGTGTGCTGGAGCTGCTGGCGGCGCCCGGCTCTGTGGTGGGCTGTGTAGCACAGCGGCCGGGTCCGTCACAGCACAGCACCCGCACGTGGTAGTTGAGGCAGCTGTGGCCCCCCGTCTGCCAGTTATTCCTGCAGATGAGGCCGTAGTTCACGTCACAGCGCACATACTGACCCAGCTGTCCCCAGGGCACATCTGGGTAGAGCACAGCCTGGCACTCGATGGCCTTGGGCTCCGCACAAACCTGACCGCCCGCATCCCGGATGTGGTAGTAAGTCTCGATGTCGCCCCCGTAGCGGCCAGGCCGGGGCTGGTCACTGTCCAGCCAGTCGGTCCAGCGGCAGGTGGGCAGGCACGTGGCGGTGGCCGTGGTCCAGCTGGTGCTGGGGGCCGGAGGACTGGCGACCATGGTGCTTGTGGGCTGCACGGGGGTCGGACCCAGGCCGGTGCTCTGCGAGCTGGGTGCAGTGGTGGCCAGGGTGCTGGCGCAGCGGCCATCATCCTCGCAGCAGAGCACGCGCACCTGGTAGTTGAGGCACATGTGGAATGGGCCAGCCTGGTCCTGGTTGTGGCACACCAGGCCACCCTCCAGGCCGCACCGAACCACCTGCCCCAGGTCCTCCAGACGCGCGTGCGGCGCCATCTCCGCGCGGCACTGGATGTCCTGGGGGTGCTGGCAGAAGTCGTGGCCCGCTGAGCGGAAAACCGAGAAGGTCTCGAAGTCCCCGCCGTCCAGGCCCGGCGTGGGGTAGTCCTCGTCGAACCAGTCTGTCCACGTGCACCGTGGGCTGCAGCCCGTGGAGGACGAGGTGGCCGGGCTGTGTGTGGTGGAGCTGGGCAGCGGGGGCGTGGAGAGCAGCGTGGTCCCGAAGGTGGCCGTGCTGGGCGGGGACCCGGGGGGAGGTCCACGGTCTGGAGGTCACCTCGGGGACCGTGGTGGGTGCACGGGGTGAGGTGGGCTTGGTGGTGGTGGTGGTGGTCGGGGTCCCCGGGGAGGCAGAGGGACCAGGGCTGGAGACCCTCTCTGTGGTCCTGGCAGGGGAAGGAAGGGTCTGGGTGGTGGAGACAGGGACCTCCTGGCTGGCTCCAGGGGAGGAGGCATGGGTCTGGGTGGACGCTCTGGTTGTGGTTTCTTGCCCCAGAGATGTGGAGCCCCCAGGGGCGGGGGTGCTGGGGCAGTGCGGGTTCGGGCGGCAGCAGAGCACACGGATGTTGTAGTTGAAGCACATGCTGAAAGGCCCCTTCTGGTCCTGGTTCCTGCAGACCAGGCCCGTGTGCAGGTCACAGCTGAGCACCTGTCCGATCTGGTCGATGCTGACCTCGGGGTAGTTCTCTGCACGACATTCAATCTTCTGGGGCTCCTCGCACAGCGTGCCCCCAGCGGCCCTGATGTTGTCCAAGGTTTCCAGGTCCCCGCCCTCGACTCCTGAGGTTGGGAAGTCCACGTCAAACCAGTCTGTCCACTCACACTGGGGCTGACAGCCAGCCGTGCTCTGGCTGGGGTTGGCCACCATCGTGGCCGTTCCCAGGGTTCCCGGTGACATTCTTGCGGTGGTCGTGCGCGTCTCTGTGCGTGGGCTGGATGGGGGGCCGGCGGGGACAGTGCCTGTTGTGGCCTCCACTCCCGTCACTGTGGGAGTCGTGTGTGTTTGTGGGGTCCCCCTGGAGAGGCTGCCTGTGGTCTGCGCAGTGGCCAGTGTCTGTGTCCCGGGAGTGGGCCCTGTGCAGTGGTCTTGGTGGCAGCACAGCACGCGGATTCTGTAGTTGTAGCACATCTTGAACAGGCCTACCTGCTCTTCGTTCCTGCACACCAGGCCAAAACCAGCGTCGCAAAGCACGCGCTGGCCCAGCTCCTCGGCGCTCCTGCCGGGGAAGTTCTCGGCCTGGCACTCAATGTCCACAGGCTGCTCGCACACGGCCCCTCCTGCGCTCCTGATCTTGTCGTACGACTCGACGTCCCCCCCGGCCTCCTCAGACTTGGGGTAGTCCTCATCGAACCACTCTGTCCACTGACACCGGGGCTGGCAGGAGGTGGTGGCCAAGGCCGGGGGGCTGCTCGATGCCCAGGTCCCTGTCATGGTGGTCTCCGCCGGCGGGGTCTCCGTGGCAGGGGTGGACCTGGCCGGTGGCTGCCAGGTGGTGGCTTGGGGGTAGGTGGTGGCCCCGGGGACCATGGTCATAGTCCCGGGGGAGGTGGTGGTGACCCCAGGGGTGGTGGTGGCCCCGGAGGCCATGGTCGTGGTCCCAGAGGAGGTGGTGGTGGTCCCAGGGGTGGTGGTGGTCCCGGGGGCCATGGTCGTGGTCCCAGAGGAGGTGGTGGTGGCCCCGGGGGAGGTGGTGGTGGTCCCAGGGGTGGTGGTGGTCCCGGGGGCCATGGTCGTGGTCCCGGAGGAGGTGGTAGTGGCCCCGGCGGAGGTGGTGGTGCCAAGGGCCGTGGTCGTGGCCCCGGGGGAGGAGCCACAGGGCAGGTAGCTGCAGCAGAGGACCCGCAGCTCGTAGTCATGGCAGAGTGGGGGGCTCTGCTCGCTGTTGAAGCAGGTCAGCCCCCGGGCCACATTGCACTCCACCTTCTGGCCCAGCTGCAGTAGCGGGATGTTGGGGAGTTGCCGTGCCCGGCACTCAATGCTCACCGGGGCCAGGCACACCTCGTAGCCCTTCTGCCTGAGGTTCACAAATGTCTCGAAGTCTCCGCCCGCCATGCCGGGCTCTGGGGCGCCGCTGTCGTACCAGTTGGACCAGAGGCAGAACTCTTGCACACACACGGTGGTGACGGTGGGGACTGAGCCTATGGGCGGGGGGCGAGAACCTCGTCAGCCTCCTCTGCACCCCTGCCAGCCATGCCCAGAAGCAGGGGTGATGGGGCCGTTGGTTGTACTGAGGACGCCCGCTCTGACCTCCTGCTCTGCCCAGACTGTCACCGGGGTCTGGGCTTAAGGCTTCAGGGGTAAGCGGGACCAGCAGCACGTCTGCCAGGCTCACCTGACGTGGAGAGTGGGACCACGGTGGTGGTGAAGGTGAAGGGCACTGTGGACGGGGTTCCGGGACAATCCACAGCCCGACGGAGGATGGTTCCATTTTGTCCGCAGATGGCCAACAAGCAGGCGCCGAGCCCGTCGGTCGTGTTGTAGATGACGTCCTCATAGTGGTAGGTCCTGCCCTCGTAGACGCAGGTGCAGGCTGGGAGACAGGGCCGGCATGGGGCTCACTCACAGCCCTCAGCCCCGGCCCCAGCCCCGGGGCCGCCCCTCTGCCTTACCTGCGAGGCTGTGTGTGCACTGGAGGCCGCCGGCAGTGCACTCACTGGGGAAGAGGAGAGGGGAGCGCTGAGGGCCCGCCAGGCCACGCCAGCACCCCTGCCCGGCTCCCTGCCCCCTCGCCCCCGCCCACTCACCAGCTCTGGCAGTTCTCTGCCGTGGGGACCCTCGCACCCACGTCGTGGTAGTTCCCGTCCTCGTCATAACAGCCACACTGGGCCACGCACTTCATCTGGTCCTCGCTGAAGAACGGCTCGCTGGGCGGGCACCTCGGGTAGCAGCCTGGGCAGGCACCATGCGTGGAGGAGACTCACCCTCGTGGCCGGGTGCTGGGCACTGCGTGGGGCAGCCGCCCCGCCACCTGTCCCCTTCCCTGCCCCTCACCTTCCAGGCCCGGCAGGTCGTGCAGACAGCGGCCACCCGGGTTCCGACACGTCCTCATGCAGGGCGCCCCGCACGGCTGGTAGTGCCACTCGCACTGGCCCTCGGGGTTGTAGTAGTCGCAGAACAGGGCTGCGCACGGAGGGGGCGGCTGAGGACGCACCCCTTGCTTCCTGCCCCGCCCTCAGCACGCTGGTCCCGTCCCGCGGCGGCCTGCCCTGTTGGTCCGTTAGCGCCCAGACGGGGGCCCACCCGTGGGCACCCGGGCCCCACCCCTTCCCGCCCTTCAGCGCCGCAGCAGAGCCCCACTCACGGCAGGTGTCCGGGGTGCGCCAGGACACGCACACGCCCACGTCGCGGCAGGCCTGCGCGTAGGCGGCCACAGCCGTGCAGAAACATTCACAGTCGCCCCCCGAGTCACAGGCGCACGCGTCGCCCACGCAGGCCTCGTAGTACTTGGCAGGGTCCACCTGGGGGAGGGGGAGGGGCCGCTCAGCAGTACTCGGGGGACCTCCAGCCCTGCGCGAGCGCGGGAGCGGCTGCACGCGTCTGCGGTCTGAGATCCGTGACTCCCACCCGCCCGGCACCGTCACCCATACCCACATCGTATCTGTGGTTGCAGACGGCCCTCCCCACGGCCGTGTCGTGACCCTGCCTGTGTCCTCGGGGTGAGGGGACAGCCCCCTGACCACACCCTTCCCTCAAGCAGCAGAGCCCAGAGGGGACCCAAGACACGTTTGCCACCAGCCTGTCCCTCCTAAGCCGCCCACATATCAGCAGCAGGTCCTGCACCCTGAGACCACGCTTGTGCGCGGGCACCCGCGTCCTCGAGAAAGTCACAGGAAGGACCTCAGGGAACAGTCTTGGAGGAGAACCACCAGTCCCCGGAGCTCGCGAGGCCCGGCTGCCGGGGAACGTGGATGGGACGGGGAGGTGGCCCCCGCGGTCCGTGTGTCTCGCAGCCTCACTTGTAGGGGGGGTCCGAGTGGCCAACGGAAGCCACGGGGATGCTCCAGCTGGGACCCTCGGGTGTCACGGCACACCGCTTGGGCCTCCCATGTGCCAGCACCCACGTCCAGTCCCAGCTCGGAGGCCCAGCCCAGGCTGGACCCAGTTCTGCCAGAAGTGGGGGGCAGCCCCAGCCCCCAGGTCAGAGCCCAGGGCCTCAGCCCACCTGAGGGTGGCAGGCGGCGAAGGTTGCGCTGTTGATGATGCTGCACTGCTTCTGGGCCCAGGACTTGCGGTACGGGTTGGCGGTGCAGGGGTCCCTGGGGACCGGGGCGTCGGGGCAGGACGGGGAGAACTTCCAGCTGTTGCCAAACTCCAGGGCGCTGCCCACCACGGACTGGCTCCGCGTGGTGAAGTCGTTGACGGCGTTGTCGTCGAAGTTGCCGCACAGCCCGCAGACCCGGCCCTGCAGACAGGGGGCGGCGGCACGGGGGGCTCAGGGGGCAGCCTGAGGGCACAGCACCCAGCCCAGACCGGCAGGGGGACTCCAGGGTAGTGCCCTGTGAACTTGCAGGAAGACAGGCACACAGACGGCCCTATAGCCAGCAGGCGGGCAGGTGGACAGGGGGCAGGCAGGCCTAGAGGGCATGGGGACACGCGGAGCACGAGCAGCGTTCTGACCAGGACTCAGCCTGTTGGGCGGTTTGGCCTGGACATGCCCTTCGGAAGCCAGCGTGGAGTGCGGACTCACCCAGCCCTCAGCGGCTCATCAGCTGCCAGAGCGCCCCCTCGGGGCCAGACCTAGAAGAGGGGGCTCCGACCATGCCCAGAGGGGCCCGCAGCCCGCCGGCCCTCACCTTGTAGTCCTGCTTCAGCCGCACGAACACGCTGGTCCTCCGGTCCCAGGACAGCACGAGGCCGCCGCGGGTCTCCACGGTGAGGTAGTTGCCCGTGTGCCGGACCTTGTAGGGTGGCTCTCCGCCTGGCCCCCACTGCACCGCCCTGTAGCCGCCATCCTGCAGGACCAGCTCGTAGCTCTGCGGGGGACGCACGGAGCAGCGGCTGCAGGGACTGAGGAGCCGTCTTGGGGGCCAGAGCCCACTGGAGGCCTGAGGCAAGGGCCCCATGGGTGTTCGGGAGCCCAAGGCGTGAGGCCGGGGTCAAGGAGGAGTGGGCTCCCGACACTGTCGTTGAATAAAAGGCCGGACCTGCGCAGGGAGAGCTGGGGCCCTGGGGAGGGGCCACGGGTCAGCGGGGGCGATGTCCCCAGAGAGCAGTGTGGCTCTCCTCCTGGTGAACCACGACCTCCCTCGGCTGGAACTGGGCGCCCCAATGTAGTGGGCTGAACACAGGCCCCACAGCGTGTGTCCCCATCCCAGCCCTGGAGGCAGTGAACGTGGCCTTGTTTGGAAGAAGGGTCTCTGTGGGGGTCAGGGAGGGACGAGCTCACCTGGATTAGGGTGGGCCTCGGCCCAAACACAGGTGTCCCTGGGACAGGAGAGAAGGGGCGGGCCCATGGGAGAGGGGCAGAAGAGGCAGGAGGGAGCCCCCAGAGGCTGGCAGGGGGCTCAGCCCTGGGACCCCTGTGGCCAGACTCCTGGCTCAGAACCGAGAGAGAATGCATTTCTCTGGCTTCAGGTGCCCCGGCTGTGGCCATTTGCCCAGCAGGAGGACAGAGAGAAGGACAGGGCTCCCGGTGGCCCCTCACCTCCAGGAAGAGCTTGATAGCCTTAGAGCAGGTGACGCCCGTGGTCCCGCAGGGGACGTTCTCGGTGACGATGCGGAAGGTCCCGTTGGTCGTGCCGTTGCCCCCGCAGTAGTCCTGGGATGGGCAGGGGTCAGGGTGAGCTCAGGCTGCGGGAGCAATTGGGCCGGGTCGGGGGACGGAGGGGCTCCACGCACCTGGACCAGTGTGTACTCGCAGGTCCCTTCGAAGCCGTAGCGCTCCCCGTCGAAGGTGATGAAGTGACCGTCCCCATAGGCCACGCAGGTGCCCAGACAGGGCTCGTGGCTGCACACCCACCGGCGGTTCCTGCATGTGCTGAGGACGGCAGACAGCTGCTCACCCCGTGCCCAGGACCAGCCCTGGCCAGCCACCCTCTGCAGAGGGCTGAGCAGAGGGGGCAGCGTGGACATGGGCCCGCCGCCCGCCTCTCTCTGGCTTCCAAGCCCTCAGTGCCTGGTGAGGCAGGGACGGGGGTCCTGGTGGCAGCTCTGAACAGCCGGGCCCCAGGGGCACCTTCTAAGGACAGAGGGGACTGTCCCAGGCTTTCCCAGGGGTGGGGACAGCGCCAGGCCTCGGCTCCTCCCCCACCCCCTTCCCTCCCGCAGGGGGGCCCTGACCCACCAGGTGTTACAGTCCACCCGGATGGTGTCCCCCGGCTTGTAGACAGCCTCGTTGTGCAGGCAGGGACAGTCCTCCTCGGCCACACAGCCCCCGCTGCCATCTGACAGCAGCCCTAGGGGGCAGACGCAGCCGGACACGCAGTGGGTGCTGAACTGTGAATGGGAAGGGCGTCAAGCTTGTCCCCCCCGTGCCCAGGGACGCTGGGGCGCAGCCCGCTCTCCCCGGCCACTCACACAGTCCACGTCCAGCGTGTGACAGCTCCTGAGACACTCGGCCCCAGGCGTGCCAGCCGAGGCGTTGCTACAGTCCAGGTACACCATGGGGGGCACACACCCTGCAGGGGGAGACCACTGGGCTGGGAGGGGCCGCAGCCCAGGCCCACGGAAGCCCCTGAGCCCTGGCGCGGCGGGAGGCCCTACCTGAGTTCCGCTGCTCCGCCACTCCCAGGCAGCTCAGCCTCCCCGCCACACACGAGCTGCGAGAGACAGGCCAGCCTGCTGGGCCCACTGCCCACCCATCACCCCTCGGGCCCCACCCACCACTCTGCCCAGAGCCCAACATACACACCCCGCCTGGGCACCGGACCCTCAGAACCCTGGCCCCGCCCAGGGGCCAGGTCCCTGTGTACCGCACAGCTGAGGGGCGGAGGGCGGGCATCCCTCCCAGGGAGCCCCGCTGTGTTTCAGAACCGTCCCAGGAGGCCCAGAGACCGTTGGGTATGACATGGGGGGCCAGAGTGTTGTGGGCTCAGGACAGGATGTCGGGGGGGCAGTGGCGCGCTGGGGGCACGGGCGCGCAGGGGCAGTGGTGCGCTGGGGACACGGGCCCAGCTGGCCGCTTACCACACCACGCCATCGTCATGCACCACCTCCCCTGGGGCCAACACGGAGCCACGGAAGTAGCAGGGACAGGCGTCGGCAGACACACAGGTGCCCGAGTCATCCAGGAAGGTGCCGTTGGGGCAGACACAGCCGTCCACAGGCAGGAAGGGGACGCTGCAGGTGACGTCGACCTGGCTCCGAGCGCGGCAGGTGGGCTGGCAGCCATGCACCACGTAGCTGTAGTTCTGGGACTGGGGGCAGCTGCTCACATACTTGGCTGGGGCAGGGGCAGCACGGGGTCAGTGGCCGGAGGGTCCCTCCAGGCTGGGGTTCACACAGCCCAAGACAGTTTCCCCCTGACACCAGGTCCTTGGTTGGCCCAGATGAGGAAGCGTGAAGCTCCAGCTGAGAACGTGGGAGTGGGAGTACCCGCCCGCCCCCCGGGTCCCCAGAGCCCTCGCCCCCACCCCCAGTACAGCCGGACCGGCCTGGGGGACACTCACTGCACACGCCGTCCCTCCAGCCGCGGAGCAGCACCCCCTTGGCCGCGCAGGCGTACACGTAGGAGGACAGGGCGGCGCACAGGCAGTCTTCGCTCTTCTCGCAGTTACACGTGTCGAACATGCAGCTCTGGGGACAGGGCCGCGGGGGGCTGTCAGGGACCCTCCTCTCCCTCTCCCTTTGCATCCTTCCTGGGACCCCCACCCGGGCCGGGTGCTCCGTCACAAGCAGGGCCCTCAGCACCGCTGGATGGGAGTCGTGGGGGCCTCGTGGAGGGGACCCCAGGAGAGACCCCTAAGGGACCGCGCAGGCCAGGTTGGGGGGGGCAGAAAGAAGGCATGAGGCCAGGCTAAGGTCAGGGTCAGGAGGGACCTCCACAGGACCGGGGAGTCCGGCTGCATCCCGCAGACGTCACCGCTTGTGGGGCGTACGCGTGGGGTGAAAGGGGAACTATGCCACCCCCAGTGTAGGTAGAGGTGGGCCCAGCCCTCCACCTGTAGACATGCACTCCCGAGGGTGCGCTCGTGGGCACTGTGGGCTTTGAGCTTCGGGGAAAGCGGCCCTCGAGCCGGCAGTGTGGGTTGGGTTGGGGCCCCCCCAAAAGGCCTGCAGAAGTCCGAACCTCCGGGGCCTAAGAGAAGGACCCTACTGGAAACAGGGTCTTTGCAGATGCAATTAAGATGCGGTCATCAGGGTGGGCTCTGAATTTGAACACTGACACAGGGGAGGGGCACGGAGGCAAAGGTTGGGGTGATGTGGCCACAAGCCTGGGTGTCACCTGGAGCCCCAAGGAGCTGGGAGACTCCGGAGGAGGGTCTATAGCCTTAGGAGGGAGCCCGGCGCGGCCCACCCCTTTTCAGTCTTCCGTCCCCCAGGACTGGGACAGACGCACTCCCCTAGCTTTTAGTGACACCAAGAACCACACCCACGGCGGCAGAGCTGACAGGCTTGCGGGACCCAGGAGGACTGGCCGGCCTGTGCACGTGCTGGAGGGGGACCCTGAGAGGAGGCTGGAGGCAGCTGCAGGTGGGGCCGGGTCCTCACCGAGTGGAAGGGCGCGGGGTTGAGGACAGAGTGGCAACGGGAGAAGGCTCCGGCCGGGTCGGTGAGCAGGGAACACCAGTGCTGGGCGTAGTTCTCTGGGGCAGGGAAGGCGAGCCGGCTGGCGGCCGTCCCCATGGCTCCTCCCCCACGCCTCCCACCCCGCAGCCTCCGCTCCTGCACCCGCCCCGGGGAGAGCTGTGACGTGTGGGGCCGACCCGCGGTGCCGATGGGCCCCAGGCCCTGCTGCCCACACGCACACACGCCCAGATGTGGGGTCCCCCAGCCCCACCCACCCCAGGGCCAGGTGAGACGGAAGCTCCAGCTCCCAGACCCAGCCCAGGTAAATGGGGGGACCCCAGGGATGAGAGTACCGTTCTCCACGCTGAGGGAGCAGGGGTCCTCGAAGCTGTTCTTGACGTTGGGGCAGGAGGCCTGGGTCTTCCAGGTGTTGGCAAAGGCGGCGGCCGTGCCCTCCACCACGCCGCCGAGGGTCCGGAAGTCGTCGGCCTGGTTCTGGTTGAAGTTCCCGCACAGGCCTGGGGGCCGAGGCCCAGGGAGGGGGCATTAGTGGGGCATCCAGCCGGGACATTGCCCTGGCCCCACGTTCCCTCCAGAAACCCTCGCAAGGAGACCAGCCAGAGAGCCCCGGCCCCGGACCTGGTTCCAGCACCATCAACGCGCCAGGGGGGTCAGCCCAAGGGCAGAGCTTGCCCCCGAAAGGACGGCCCAGCTCGCTCCCCATGCCCACCCCAGGTCACCGCCCCAGGAGCAGCTCCCTCCCGGTCCCTACTTCCTGCCAGGCTCTAGCCCATCCCGCCTGCTGCTGAGCCCAGGGCCCGGCGCCCCCAAGCCTCAGCCGGCCTCACCGCACGTCCGCCCGTGGTAGGACGGGTCCAGCTGGAGAAACACCTGCATGAGCGGGACTAGCTGGACCCGCAGCTGCAGCCCGAGGCCCGTGTGCGCCAGGACGAAGAAGGACGTGGGCCGGAAGACCGTGACGTTGCCTGCGGGGGTGGGGACAGCGCCGAGTCAGGCCGAGGCCCTTGCCGTGGCGACAGCCCCGGGGTGGGGAGGGTCCTCCGGGGACAAGCTGGGAGGAGACAGGTGTACGGCGGGCCCTGGGAGTAGGCAGTGTTGGCAGTGACTGGTCCTGGTCCCCGGGAGGCCGGGCGCCGAGTGTGCTCCACACCGGGCCCCCGCGGGTCAGACCACGTCCCGCTTGCCAGCAGGATATTGAGGAACAGCCCCAGGCCGTGAGGAGCAGCAAGGGACCCAGCTGGCCGCATGCAGGCTCTGGGAGCGGGCCGCCCAGCTGCCGCCTGGCCGGCCGTCCCGGGCCGCGCACCTGCAGACACGGGCAGCTGGGTGTAGATGGAGTTCACGAACACCCCGCCGTTGGCCTGGATCTGGACGACCTGCAGGAAGAAGCAGCTGGGTCAGTGCAGGGAGGAGCCCGCCTGCTTGGGGGTCCAGGGAGCCGGCCGGCAGACGCAGAGCCGGGCGGGGAGCTCTGGCCTCGAACCTCTGGCTCCGTGGGACTCAGGAGCAGGTCTGGGCATCTAAGCAGGGAGCGGGAATCAGTGTCCTCCAGGCCCGCGTGTCCTGCCCGCTTCCCTGGGCCCCTGCGGGAGCCTCACCGTGTCCCCGCCGTTCACGCTGAGCGCCACCGATCTGAGGCAGTTCTCGTTGTCCGTCAGGCCGCACCTTCGCAGCTCGGCCAGCACGCTGAAGCTGTTCCCTGCACACGTCTGCGGGGCAAAGCCACCAGGGCTGCTGCATGCACACGTGTGGGGCCTGTTCCCAGCATTGCCCGTGTGGGTGCAGACGGGTAGTGGCCCACGGTGGCCCGTGGCCCAGTAAGCATGAGCCCAGGGGCTTCCCTTGGGGATGGGTCTCCAGGAGGAGATCTGGGGGGGGGCTCACCCTTCTGATGGCCATCATGGGACCCTGCATGGGGGCAGAGGGGGCCCGAGAGTCCCTGAACAGGTCTGCCAACCCCACCGGAGCCGCACCTTGGACAGGACGTAGCTGCAGTCCCCGTGCACGTCATAGAGCCTCTGGTCGTAGGTGGAGATGTGGGCCCCACCCTGGACAGAGCAGGTGCCGGGGCACGGAAGGTCCTGGCACTGCCACAGCCCCCCGGAGCAGTTGCTGGGAAGGGGGCGGGGGGCGTGAGCGGAGGGGACAGAGCCCATCCGCTGCGCCCCCGTCCCGGCCCGGGCAGATGGGAGGCTTACCAGGCGCTGCAGCTGCTGGTGAAGGAGGCTCCCGGGGCGTAGGTGCGGCCCCCGTGCGTGCAGGGACACTGCTCCAGGGGCAGGCAGCCCCGGTGCGTAACATCATCCAGCACTGTGCCTGGAGACAGGCGGCATCGTAAGTGGGCCGGGTCAGGTGCTGGAACCGCGGTGACCGGGGCAGCGGGGGGTGGGGCCAGGAGGACCTGCCTGGGGGGCAGAAGCAGCCGTCCACGCAGTGGTCCTCGCAGAGCTGGGAGCGCTGGGGGTTGGAGCAGGTGTCGGCGCAGGGCGAGCCGCACTCCCGGTGCTGCATGCTGGGAGGGCAGGTCTGGGCTGCGGCAGGGAGACAGCAGTCACGCCCCAGGAAGCTGCCCGCGCATGGGGCGGACAGGCCCCTCCACCCTCAGCCGTTCGTGTGCTACACCCGGGCCTGGGGAACCCCTCACCTTGGGAGGCCGGGCCCCGCCTGTCCTGGACCCCGCTCTCCTCTGGGTGAGGCCGCGGGCAGGGGAGCCCAGACCGCAGGGCCTCCCAGATAGCCCCTTTGGGCCCACCCGGCTTCTGGGTGAGCTCAGCTCATGGCACCCAGCCTGGGTCCCCCAGGCATATCCCCTTCTGCTCTCCTGCCCACCCGCCTGACCAACTGCCCCGTCCCAGGTCCCCAGCCAGATGCCGGATGTCCTGCCCAGGGGTGTTGTCCCCATCCCCAGGGACCCCGTGTGAGTGTGGGGGCCGGCCCTGTTGAGAGCCACTCACGGCAGAGGTCGGGGCCCCTCCAGTCCTGGGGCTGTCCCCCCGCATGGGCACACTGGCGAGAGTACTCCGCGAAGGTGGCACACGGGCAGGTGAGGCAGCGGCACAGGTCCTGGGTACAGGCGGCCACATATGCCGTGGGGTCCGCGAGCTTGTGGCACTCCGCAAAGGCCGGGCCGAGCAGGGTGCGGCGGCAGACGCCGTCCTGGGGGCACAGACACTGGCACTGTCCAGCCTCAGGCCCTGCAGGCATTTCCAGGCCAGGGGACCCCCTTCCTCCTCTGAAGTTCCTTTTTTCCCTTCATCCGTCTGTCTGTCCGTCTGTCCATCTACCCGCACATTCACCCACCGTCTGTCCTTCCGTGTGCCCGTGCTTCTGTCCGCCCAGCCGGCTGGCGGCCCTCCCAGCCTCGCCCCGCCACGTGGACTTGCCCCCACTGTGTGCAGAGCTCTGCTTGGCTCTGGGGACTGAGCCGTGACTGTGGACCCCACCCCCGCCAGGGCTCCAGGACACCCCTGCTCATGGTGTGAGCACCCAGGAGGCCAGTCAGAGAAGGGGGAAGCCCTCAGGCAGCCCCAGCAGAGCCAAAGCCAGCCCACCAGGGAACCCTTCCTCCTTCCCTAGCAGCCCCCACCCCCTACAAGCTGGGGCTGGACTGAGCCTCCACATCCTGACTTAAAGCTCACAGATAGACCCGAAAAGTGGGGCTTCCCTGCTCCCCACCCCAGGCAGGACTGTATATGTGCCGACACGTACTTGCACACGCAGAAGGACACACACACGTGTGCTGCCCACACACTCAGAACGTGTGCGGTCAGTGGAGGTGAGTAGGTGAGAGGGCGTGTCTCCAGACTGGAGGCCATGTCCTCGGCCGCCTGGGGGCTGGGAGACCCTCTCTCACCTGGACATCCCAGGCCCCAGCCCAGGAAGCCTGAGCCTGTGCCTCTGGCGGTCCCCATGCCCTTGGGGAAGCAGGGGCCATGGGCTCACCACGTCTGTGCAGTTGCTGGTCGGGGAAGACGGGGGGTCCTGACACTGCTCTGTGGGCCCGTCCAGCTTCTGTAGGTTCCCGAACTGCAGAGGGGTCAGCCTAGCACCTGTGGACAGGAGGTGCTCAGCGTGGGGCGTGCTGAGGGCCCCTGGGGGCCATGCGGGCAGTGGCTGCCGGGGGACCCCCTGCCCGTGCCCGGGGTGCCGGGAACTTCTCTCTGGGCACCACTGGCTTGAGTACTGCCCAGCGTCTCGGTGAGGCCACCCCAGGCTGCCCCCTCCAGGCCTCCTCGGGACCATCCAGTCCCCCGAGGGACCCACAGGCTTGGCTTCCTGCCATTCCCTGACCCCACCCTGAGCCCAGGGGGCACTCACTATGGGAGTAGAACTCGTTGACAGCCGGGAGCCCGTTGAAGTCCCCGCACAGACCACATGTCTGGTTGGCATACTTGGGGTCCAGCTCCAGCTGGGGGCAGAGGAGGGCAGGTCCAGCCTCAGCCGGCCTGGCCAAGCCCTCACCTCCTGCTGCCCCTGCCCCCCAGGGCTGGGAGGCTCGCCCCGACCAGGCCAGGAAGGGCGTGGGGGCAGGACGTCCTTACCAGGGCACTGTCCTCTCTGTTCCACATGAAGGTCAGCAGCAGCCGGACAGTGACCTTGACGTAGACGCTGCTCTGCTCCACCAACAGGCCTGCACGGCTGTAGGGCAGCTCCTCTCTGGGGTGGAAAGTTCTGGTCGTCCCGCAGCGGGTGTCCAGCAGGGTCCGGGGCCCTCCCCCCACATCCCGAGCCCGCCCCAGAGTCCCGGCTCCGCTGCAGCCCGCCCCAGGCTCACCGCCGCCCGTTGATGAGGACGGAGCCGTTGGAGGCCTCCAGCACCAGCCCCTGGGTCTTGAGGACGACGTGGGTGATGGTGGGCCTGGAGCCGGCCAGGCCGCGGCGCAGCTGCACGTTGAAGTCCTCGTACGCGGCGCCGCAGTGCGCTGACAGGACGTAGTTGCACAGGCCGGGGAAGCGGAAGACGTCGCCGTCGAAGGTCTTGTAGTGGAAGTCGCCCCAGGTGCTGCAGACGCGCCCGTTGTGCGCGGAGTCCCGGGCTGCGGGGAGAGCGTGTGGGGCCCCAGCAGACACCACCAGCCCTGCCAGCCACCTGCGGGTGGCCGTCCCCGGGTCTGGAGAAGTGGGGAGCCAGGAGGGCAGCCGCTCGCCCGCCTCGCCGCCCTGAGCGCCCTTCCCCCGGACCCAGCATCTGGGGTCAGCGCCCAGAAGAGCTGGCCACAGGGAGGGCTCCCGGCTGGGACCGGGGCCATTCAGCTGCCCACACTGCTCCCCCCGAGATCTGCGAGTGCCCCCGCCCCCCACCAGCAGTGGGCAGCGTCCACTCACAGCTCATGGTGGGCAAGACAGTGATGGGCGGGATGACGGTCATGCTCCAAGCTGTAGAGGGAGGCCAGGTCACAACCAAAACACGGCCAGGCCGGAGACCCCCACCCTTCTCGCTGGCTGCCCTGATGCCGCCCATCGAGCCCCAGGACTAGGGCTGCCCCTCCCGGGCCCCCCCACTTGCGCAAGACACACTCTGCCCCAAGTGTGCGTGTGAACGTGCACGCGCAAGGTGTGAGCACATGCGTGGGCACGTGTGTGGGCACATGTGAGCATTTCGGGCACTCTGCTCTGTGCCTTAGCTTTCCGGGGCCCGTGCCCCCTGCTGTCCCTTCTTGTGGTCAGGTGGGATCCAGAAGGGTTTCTGTGACATGCAGCCAATGTGGAAAGGGGTCTGTCCCCATCCCCCGTCCAGGTTGCCAGGCCACTTGGAGCCCAGCCCCTTCTGCCTGCCGAGGGCCACCCCCTCCTCCGAGCCTGGGACGCATACCGACATCCGCCCTCCGGCTGTGCTCTGCGGCCTGTCTGCTTGGCTGGCTGGGCTCCACGCTGCTCTGGGTCTCTGCAGGGAAAGCGGATGCGGGTCCCTGAGCCGCTGGACGTTCCCTGTCCTTCCTGGGCAGGCCCCATGGACATGCGACAGGGTGGAAAGCGGGGCTCCACCGGGGTGGGAGGCCTCCGCCGGGAGCCTTGTGCTGACCCCCACCCTCCCCGTCCACAAACGCAGGGTGGTGCCTCGTCCCTCCCAGACACAGCCGTTGGCGCCGCTGCCTCCAGGCAAGAGAGCGGAATCAGGAAAAGGCGTTGGTGCCACTGATCCCGGCCACCCCAGAAGAGGGTTTGGCCCCATCCCGTGCGTCCCTTGGAGAAGGACAAAGACTGGCTTTGTTGGGGAGAAGGACACACGCAGTTGGGGAGGCTTCTAGGTGTGACTTAGCAGAAACCCAAGACCCGAGCCAGATTCGAGTTAGAACGGTCCATTATGGCAGCAGGAGGCCCAGGGGCCCTGGTGCCAGGGTGGCTGTCCCCAGGGGCCTGTGTGCCCACCACCTCCAGACAGGGCCTCCCCCACCAGCCTGACTGCCCCGGTGGCCAGGCCCCCAGGTCCCCTCGCTGCCATGGCAGACAGCAGCGAGCCCTCCCAGACGCTTCTGCGGAGCTCAGGCTGCGGCACCCCCTTCACACGGCCCTGACATCCCCCCTTTGGTCTGCCGGGAGTCTCCACGCTCAGCCCAAGACGGAACTTCCTGGGAGTGGGAGGGGGGTCCCTGATGTCCCCATATTCCCGGTGCGACCTCCTCGGCGAGGGGCACCGGGAGGCCATGGAGACGGCCTCTGCTTCCTGTTCGACTCTCCCAGCAGGGACCTCGGACAGAAACCACAGGGCCTGGCTTGGCATCGAACTTGGCTTTCAAGGGCCCCAGCGGACTGTTTCCTACAGGCACAGACGTTACCCCTGTGGGACCCCAGACCAGCAGCTCCTCCCACGTGAGCCTGGCCGGGGCCAGCCACGGCCGCACCCCACAGTCAAAAGCCAGAGAGAGTCACGGGGGTGCTTGGCCTGCACGTCGCCTCCCTATCCGGGCCCGGTTTCCTCCCCATCCAGGCCCCGTCTCCACGAGAATTGACTCAACTCGCGGCCCTCCTCAGGCAGAGTCACTCGCCCAGCGAGACCGAGTTTGCATCGCCGGGGCCAGGGGACCGCCCGTCACCGACGGTGCGCTGCACTGCGGCCCATACGCACCCCGACGTGGGGCCCTCCTCTCGGACGGCCTTAGCCCACCCCAGCGGGGTTTGCCCCCCCGAGAGGAGCGGGCAGGGGTGAGGTGGCTCGCTGGAGAAGCCCCTCTTCAGGCATGTGCTGCGAGGCCAGCACGGCCCAGAGGAGCCTGGAAGAGCCCGGCCGCGTGGGGCCCGTGCGAACCAGCAGGTGGGCACCTGAGCAGCCCGGTGGGCTGGGGGCCCAGCACCCCACTGGGAGTCACTCTGGGGAGCTCCCCAACCCCCAGCCCTGCTCCACGCGCAGGAAACGACTGATGGAGAGAGCTGTGGGCCAGCGTCCATCTGCCTGGACTCCCCGAGCACCCCCTGCAGTGGCCAGGGCTCCAGGCCAGCCCTGCTGGGTGTCACCCAGGCAGCCCCTGAGGCCGTGTCTTTCACGTTGACAGTAAGTATTAGGGCCAGTGGTGCTTCCCCTAGATGCTAAGGGCCACAGGGCAGCCGGGAGCCCCTGGGAGCCGGTGGGGGGGCCGGCTCGATGGGGCTCCCTGTCGGCTGTTCCAACCCTAATCTGAGCAGGAATTTTGGAGCCGCCGTGGGGAGCTCCAAGGACCAGAGAGACCCAGCTTTGGCCTCTCCCACCTCCACCCCAACACCCTCTCGGTGGTTCTCCCTGGGGGCCCCAGCTTCTCCTGGCTGGAGGCTGAGAGCCTGGGGGCCCCAGTGGGGATACACGGGGCGGGCTCTTGCCTGCCCATTCTCAGGAGGAGGACCCCCAGCGAGTGGCCTGCGGGGCTCCCCTGCTGCAGAGAAAGAGCCGGGTCCTCATCCTCACCTGTCTCCTGCACCAAAAGCAGGGCCGCCAGGACCCAGGCCAGCACCAGGCACCCGTTCAGGGCACCCATCCTGGGGGCTGGCACGGCGGCGGGCTGGTGGCCAGGAGGAATGGGCCCCAGTGCTCGCTCCCTGGGGGCCCTGGGGCTTATATAGCAAGAAGCCTTGGCTCGGCGCCCGGCTCCTGGGCCACGCAGGGCTCCGTCCTTCCCCCCAAGGCGGCCACGTGTGTTTGCTCTTGGGGAGGGGCTGAGGCAGGAAAGACGCCTGGAGGAGGAAGGATTTGCGGCTCTGGGCCCCAGATTCACAGGACCCTTGCCCCCACTCTCCCCCGCCCCTCTGCAGCGTCTGAGAATCAGAGGGAGAGGGGTGACTGCCTGGTGCCAGTGGCCCATCCTGGGGGGGCAAGGCCCCTGCACGCAGCCGTCCCAGCCGCTCTGGTCGTGTCTCGCTCACTGAGTAGGGAGGTGGTCAGCACTACCCCACGCTGAGCCCGCACATCGAGCCCCTCCCCAGAACCTGGCCAAGGCCTCAGCCATCGGGTAGCCTTCGGCGCTGGCCGGGGGTGTTCACCCCGGGTCCCTGGGGCTTCTGCTCAGCTAGTGGGTGGTCAGCCATGTGTGTAGGGTGCGGTACCTGGGCTGCATGGCTTGTGGGGGTCCTGGGAGGGGGCTCCATGCCCAGAGACCCTAACCATGCTGACCAGTGCCCCTGAAGATCTCGGGGCTCCTCTCTGTCACCAAGTTCAGATTTAAGGGGAAACTGAGGCCCTGAGAGTAGACATCAGGCTGGCCTTTGTCCCACGCCTGCCCTGGCCAAGGCAGGACCAGGAGCTCCCAGCATGGCGGGTTTGACCATCCCCTCGCTTCTGAGGCTGGCTAGGTGGCCCGAGGCCGGGTCGCACAGAGGAAGCCACTGTCCCTCTGGGTCCATGAGTCGCCAGGGTCCTGGGTGGACGGCAGGGCTGACGAGGTCACCTCAGTCTGAGCGGGTCTCAAACTGGGGGGTCTCTCAACCCCAGTGCCGCCCTGAGTGGGAGCCACGTCCCAGCTCCCTGGCTGGCCCGGCCCGGCAGGGCCACATGGTAACCTTCTCCCAGTGTCTGGCTCAGTCTCACCCGCTGTCCGCCTCTGACCCGCACCACAGGCGTCTCATTCTCTGGCTCCAGCAACAACGCTGGCACCCTTACCGCACGCCTGAGTGTGTCTGAGAGTGGCCCATGGGCGGACCTGGCTGGGAGGTGCGGGAAGCCCCCATAGCTTCTCTACGGTGCGCACAGCTGGGCTCCCCCTGCATTTGTCTTTCCCAGGATTCGTTCACATCAGTGGAATTGCTGGGGCCACGCGCAAACCTTCCTCAAAGCTTTCACGCCTCCCGCCTGGCGATCACCCCTCTGCTTGGCAGAGGGCCCCTCCGGCCAATGTCTGGGCCACTGCCGTGCGTCTGGGGGTCTGGGGTCTGCTGGCAGCTGGCCTCTTCAGTGCACCCACCCCCCGGGAGCTGGCCCCGCTTCCTGGACTCGGAGCTCCCGCCGACGGGCCTGGCGTGCTGCCCGCTCACGTCTGCAGATCTCCGGGCCTCCCTCAGGCCGAGCCCTCGGGCCCCCGCAGCTTCCCTGGGCTTCCCACGGCTCTCGTCCGTGCCCCACCCGGCGCCCAGCCACACCCAGGCCCCTGCCGTGCTGCCCCAGCCCCCCGACTCGGTAAGCACCCCGCGGCCTTCAGGGCCCGCCAGACCCCCGCCCCTGCCCGTATGAGCCTCGGACTTGGGACCTGAACGTGAGCTGTTCGGGGCTTCAGGTTTGCCGTCTCTCCCTCCCCACCCCACCCCGGAAGGAGAGCTTCCCGCAGCAGGGGCCTTGCCCGCTGCCCACCGCGGCACACAGTAGGCGCTCCGGGCTGCCCGGCGCCGCCCCTCCCCGTGCGCTGCACTCCAGGCCGATGCCGGTGGGGGCCACGGGCACAGCTCTTGAGACATCCCGGATGCGGCCCTGGCCCTGTTTGCTCAGCAAGTTTACCCCTTCACACTTGACGGAGCTGAGGACGGAGATAAAGGGAGGGAAGGGAACCGGCAGCCTGGAAGCGGCCGCCTCCTGGAGCTCGGGAAGGCTCCGCCAGGGACCGTGCCAGGAAGCCCATGCGCCCTGGGTCCGCCCCTGTCCTCGCTCAGCCCACAGACCCAGCCATGCAGAGCCCAGAGGCGCACTGCCCCACCCTCAAGGGATTTTGGAGGTGCTGAGCTTGCCCCTCCCTTCATCCCTGCATCCTGGCAGCAAGGACGAGGCGCCGAGACCCAAGCCCTGACTGGGAGTGGCTGCACCTCGGGCACCGTGGAGGGTGCGGGAGGACTGGGGCGCGGTCCTGGGGGCACAAACTTGGCTGGCTCGGAGCCCCCCCTGGACCGCTCTGGGATGGGGCCTTTCACACCTGCTGTCTCCTGTCTCCCCCGGACGGCGGTGTGCCACAACCACGGGCACCCTGGCAGCCCTGGTCTACACCCCAGGGGCTTGTGCTCCCCAGAGCTAAGAGCCCAGTGGTGTGACTACTGGACTAGCCTGACCGTCCAGGCTGGTGACCCCAGTGGGGAGGGCGGCCCAGGCAGGGAAGGACCCCAGGTGACACGTGCGTAACAGGCCCCTCCCGCCTGGGCTTTGGGATGGCGAGGCCTCGTTCCTCCTCCCAGCATGCTCAGGGTGTTTCCAGCGAGACTTGGGGGACCAGCCTGGTCCAGGAGCAACAGGTGGCAAGGGCATCATGGCCCCGGGGGCCCCCAGCTTGTTCTTTGACCCACGTCCCTGAGCACCTCCGCCCCATGCGGGGCACTTGGGCTGTGGAGAGGAGCCCTTGACCTCCCACTGGAGGGGACAAGTCACCCTGGGGTGGGGTGACGCTGTGGAGGGGGGCTGGACCCTGGAGCCATCCCCACTGTGAGATGGGCCGTCCCCCCCACCCAGCCTCCGGGCAGGCTGCAGGCATGTAGAGCGCCTCCCACCAGGACAGCCCTGCCCCAGGTGGGGGCCACGAGCCCCCCAACCTCTTCACCCAGGTCCCTTTCCTCCCCCTTGTCCTCTGTCCCTTCTTCCTTCCTTCCTTCCTTCTAGCAAATTCTGAGCCCCAGGGTGGGACGGCCCCGGGCCCTGGATGCAACTTGGACAAGGAAAACAAAGGTCTGCCCCACGGAGCTCAGGACATGCGGCCGTTCGCGGCCACAAGGGGAGCTTTGGAGGGACCAAGAGGGTGATGGCTCTGGGCGGCGAGGGGGGACCAACATTCATTGCCAACTGTCCAGATCACCTTTACTCTTTCCAGAAAGACTCTGTCCACTAGGAACTCCTCGGGCCCTGGTGCCCGCCCACCCCTCTCTGTGTCCGGATCCAGTGGCTCCAGAGACCAGAGGAGTGGGGTCACACAGTGCCTACCCCTTGGGTCTGGCTCACCCACTCAGCACCGTGTCCATGAGGCGTGGCGGCAGGGGCCAGAAGGCCCCCCATTTCTTGGGCTCAGGAGGACGGCACTGTGCGAACACACCAGATCCTGTTTCCCGTATCATCTGCTGATGGACGTGGGGCCACTTGCAGCTGTGGGCAGCTGTGAGCACAGGAACATGACCGTGCAAGGATCCGCCTGGGTCCCTGCTTCCAGTGTCGTTGGGGACGGACCCAGGAGTGGACTCGCCGAATCGCGTCCTAAGTCCGTGCTTCACTTTCTAGGGGACGGCCAAAGTAGTTTCCACAACACGGACAGCATTTTGTGTTCCCACCAGTAGTGAACAAAGGGCGGGCTGGGGTGAGGACGGCTCTCTCCTGGGTGCAGACTGTTGACCTACTGCCAAGCTGACGAGGCCCAGGGGCTCTGCAGGGGCCCCTTCCCGATGGCCCTGACCCCGTCCACGCAGACTCCACCTTCATGACCTGGTCACACCCCAGAGCCCCCACCCACCGACACCATCGCTGCAGGAGAGGTCTTCAACACGTGGATTTCAGGAGATCATATTCAGACCACAGGAGGCTTGAACGGTTTCTTCGTGAAGTTTCTAGAGTTTTCTACACGTAAGACCGTGTCGTCTGTGCCTCCTTTCCGGTCTAGGCCCCAGTACCTTGTGTTTCATTTTGCTGCCCAGTAGCCGCGGCCCCGTTTCCGGCGCTCTGCAGAATGGCAGTGCTGGGCGTGGGCGTCCCATTCGCATCTCAGCGGGGACACTCTCATCGGTCACCGCTGGGAGCGACATCAGGGGTGGGCTTGTCATACTCCCCTTTACAATGATGGTTTCCTTCTCGTTCCGGTTTATAAGGGCGAGGAATTCCGGCAAATTCCATTTCTGCATTCACTGAGATGGTCAGGTGCCCCCGATCTGTGAACGGGAGGACAGATCCGTGCGCGCGGGGCCGTTCCTGCAATCTGGGGGTGCGCCCACTGGGTCGTGGTGAAGAATGTCGCGCTTCTGAATTGGTTTGCTGGCACTTTGTTGAGCAGTCGCACACCCGTGTTCATGGCGGGCACGGGTCTGTGTGTGGCTTCGGTGTCGGGGACACGCTGGCCTCACAGAGCCAGGCGGGAGCGGGTCCGTCCCCCGCGGTATTCCAGAGGAGTTTGGGAAGAAGCAGTTCAGTCCCGTGAGCAGGTTTTGTTTCCAGGAATTTGTCTGTTTCTTCCAGTTGTCAAGCCTGGTAAGATGGTCTGCAGGACCCCTAACACCACGCGCACTGCTGTCCCACCAGGGGCAGCATCGCTTCTGCTTCCCACCGCGGCGCTGCTCGCCTGTGCTGTCTCCGGGAAACAGCTGTGGGGTGTGCCAGTTCTCTGCAGCTGCCGGTGTCTGCCGCCTTTGTCGCAAGAGCCTTCCTGCCCCAAGCGCGGGGCTCAGTTCCCGCGTCCCTTGCTGCCGCCTTGGGGGCTGCGGTGTGGCTGTCACTGGAGACCCTTCCTTGTATCGGTGCTCCCAGCTGTGCCGCGGCCCCTCAGCACCCGCCCCGCTGGGCCTCCTAGGTCTGGGCGTGTGGGGGCTCGGTTGGTTAAGCCACTGCCTTCAGCTCGGGGCATGATCCTGGAGTCCTGGGATGGAGTCCCACATCGGGGGGAC